CTAAAAGTTTGACCGCTCTCCAGAGCAACTCCCAAAAACGCACCACAACATGCAACAAGGTGAGCAAACGTGCGCAACATGTAACATCCAAAAATGCTGGGAGTTGTTGGCCAACAATGTTACGTCCATTTGTACGGGGCTTAATATTCTTGTCTCCTTTAAGTTTCAAAGAAAATGGTTTCAGATATCAGGTATCTATAACTGTCAGGAGCTGTGTTTTAAGCCAAAACATGGCATTATCCAACCATTTAGTAACGTTTGATACGTATTGGGTCTACGTTAGATATAAAAAAGGGTTATGGTGACCACAACTATGAATAGAATCCCAAAGTCAAGAGATTTTACAGAGTGCTTGGAATTAAATTGAAGTAGATAGCCTTACGCCCATAACCTTTAAGTACCGTACTTAACATTGATATTTGTACTCGAATGTAAGCATATCTGCGCATCAAGTGTTTCCTTTTTCCCAATGCCACTATAGGAATATGCTTATTTATAAATATGAACATAAAGAATAAATGTGTAGATACAATGTATAACTGAAGTTGTTTCATTTAATTGCTGTTGTAAGTTCCGCAATTGTTAATGGAGACACGGTGGATTTTCAAAATATTACCTAACCAATATACAAAATACGCAGGGAAGTTAAACCTGCCAATGTCAATAACTTGAAAAATTAATCAGTAAGACAAAGGTGGTCCAAATATGCCACTTGAGAAAAACACGAACATTAGGGTTGCAGTGGAGGTCCCGAAATTCCAAAGAATAAGCATATATTGAAAACAACTGCTTCAGGAAAAGTTCAAACAGGAAAAGTATAGAATGACTAAGCATTGTATAAAAATATCAGATAATCTTGAGATAACTGGACCTAAACTGTAGCAATACTTGAGAAAACGAAGGTACGGTATATGACAATAAAGAGATGTACGCCCGGTAGAGCTAAACGTCGCAAGCTGCTAAAGAGAACATTTTAAAAAATCAAAATTCAAAGGAAAGCATCAAGTGAGTCAAATAGTTTATAAAAACACCACAAATTTATTACAAGGTTATCAAAAAGCTTCAAAGTCATTAAAGCACTGTGAATAACTGAAACAAATTATGTTTTTCATGTGTAGATAGTAAGTATAATTAACTTGTTTCATGGTCTTGTTTCAGTTTGTGGTTTATGGACTGTCGTATGCCATGGTGTAATTGATTAATTATGTTAACAACCAATTTCACGCAGTGCGAACTGTAAATAGCCGATGCAATTAGAGGCTCGTCAATGCTAAGACATGAATAACCACTTAACGTAATGACTCAGTATAAAGCAATAAAGGTCGAAATTGGGTCAGAGCACACCTCTTAGTGTCCATGTATTTAGCACGAAATTGCTAATTTTAGACAGAGTTCTTTAAATAGCGAAAAAGCGAAAATACAACTCTAGCTATGCATTTATATTATAATTAACATATCTACTACTCTGACTAGTAGAATCTAAACAATTCTCCTAAGGGCAAAGTTGCCTTCAAAAGGAGCAAGAGGGGAACTTTAGCAAACACGGTCGTTGTCGACGCGTTCGAACATCGAAAACAAACCGATGGTGGAGCCTCCATTTAACAAAATTTTAAGTCACCGAACAACAATGTAATAACAGTCCGTCATGACGGGTTTCGGCATCACATGGGAATGAATTTCTGCTCTATACATAAATTTTAGATAAGAGTCGAGATCCCTTATATTAATACAGACAGATGGTGTCTGCATTCAGAAGATGATTATAGACACCTTTTATTGGAACGAATAAAATACTGATCATGAAGAAATAAAGAAATAAATATCAAGCTTTGAGGCTTAGACCTCCTAAAATAGCAACAAATACATCTGAAACTTTTACCAACTTAACATAAATGTACCGTGATTTTTTTAACTTTTATACTGCGGCTATAGCTTGTTAGAATCCACAAGTCATATAACCGTATTAAGTCATGTTGCAACTGTTTTCCGACTTAAAATCGACCCCAACAGTCTGTGCGAGCGGCGGATGGGCGTGCACGCGTGCGTGTGCGCTGACGTCTTTACCAAATATTCTTGAATCGTCTAGCATGCTTCGCTGCAGACGACGGCGACGACAAAATAACAATTCTGCACTTACAGCGCACTTTTTTTGGCACATTTCTTTGCCATCACTGAACGACTACGACGTGATAATACCTAATTTCACGTTTAATGGAGGACGTAAACAAGCGACGACGAAATTCCCCCTTCTCTTTCTGAATTAGGATGCGGTTCTTACGAATTGATCTGCAGAAGAGAGTTCGCTTGCATTTGATAAAAGTAACTGCGAGTTGGAACGAGCGCGAATTCGCGTTTTAAGCAACGTTTTTCGCCACCATCGTCTTCATGGTATCTTAAACTCCCTAGTAAGGGCAGTCTCCGAGCCTATAGATGGCGTTCACACAATGAAAAATATTTTTACTGTACTCGAGAAAAGATTTCAGTCCGAAGAAGATTGCTGTTTGGTATACTAAGGGCCTGTTTACATGGACGTGAGGAACCCCAGCTAATCTCTGATATGGTCACCACAACTATCAAACAAGATCAAATTAAACTAAGAGATTATATAAAAAAAAGAGGATTAACTGTCTTAAGGCGGTTGCCTCACCCACCTGCAGTCCCCACTTCCATGCAAACAGGCCCTAACATGGCCGCTGTTTTATTGTTGGATACATATATGCTAAGCCACGGTGACTTCATGTGTAAAAGATCTGTAAAATTGAGGGGAAAAGAGCTTCATCTTTTATCATCTGTACTAGATTTGGGTTCTTGACAAGTTTGATAAACTGATAAGTAGCTGTAGTGCTTCGCCTGCGTTTGAAATACCTATGACTGGAAACTTTTCATTATTTACTAAGTTCTACTTCCACAAAGAGTCCCTTAAATTGCTACTAAAATCATGTATACGTGCTATAACAAAGAGTTTTTCTTTCTATTCGAAAACTGAAAATCTCAAAATCTCGAAACGTAAAACAAATAAACAAAAATTAAGAAATAAGAAACTAACATTTAGGAATAAAATAACAGTAGACAGCGAGTAGTCTCTCATTTACCCTCAGGGATAGTAGAGCGAGCTAAACACGAGTGCGCGTGAAATTCACCCAACTCAAGAAAAGTGAGACGCGGCTGGGAGAGAGAAAAATGAGGGACTAAAGACAAAGCCCAAGCTTTGGACTTCATACATACGTTGCTCTTACAACGCATAACTCTGATTGGCTGTTCCATGGCAATCTGTCTGAATCTTTTGATTACTAGATGATTTCTTACCTTATTTACAAAGTGATCGAAGCATTGCCAAGTTACCGTAATCTTTTCTGAAGGTAGAAAGAAACAGTTTTCCTTTCTTATGATCTGTGCCCCTGCAAGAAAAAAAAAATCACAGTCATTCATGACATGCATGCAAGACTGCCGTTAGACATCGAGAAATAATTAAAGATCGATCGATAAGTACATAGCACTGATATCTCAAGGGATACAAGTCACTTGTACGCGTAGGAACAAACGAAAATTCAAAAAAAAACAAATTTACCATGTCTCAACCATGTGAAATTCGTCGGTAACAACCAAAAGAAATGTTAAGTTCCCAGTGGGGTTTCGCTTCTTTCAGGATCTCTGTAAACTTCTTGCATAAGCAGTCTTCAGCTGAAGCGAAAATCATTTGAAACTTCCCTTTGGAGATATCTTTCAAACAATCCTCACTGCTTGGTTCCAAGTGAACCGATGTTATCGCAAGACCGTTCTTCCACACTGATTTTGAGTGAAGAAATAACGAGGACGCTCGCTTTCGCAGATGTTTGCCCCATTAAACGTTCCCAAATCCGGTTGGAATTATCGCAAGTACATAATTTTCCGCCAACAGAGCCTCCACCGCTTATACTCAGTGTATAGTGTTCTTGTTTCATTGATGTTATGTTTAGATTTTTCTTTTTTTTACAAAAATGCCTGAAGTTTGTCAAACATTGAAAGAAATTGTTAATGTCGAGTGTTGATAGCGGCTGGCGCGTTTTAAAGATTGCCACGAAAGAGCCAAATCAGAGTTATGCGTTGTGAGAGCAACGCATGAAGTCCAAAGCTTGGGCCTTGTTGTAAGTTCCTCATTTTTCTCTCTCCCTGCCGCGTCTCTCCTTTCTCGCGTGGCATGATGTTTACGCAGGCTCGCGTTCCGCCGCGCTCTGCTATCCCTGAGGGAAAATGAGGGAGTAAAGTCTAAAAAAACAGCAACTTGATTAACCTTCTACCGGAAGTTATCGCTTTAAGTTTACGCTTGCCTAGGCAATCACTCTTTTAAACCTAACCTGCATAAATCTTCTGTAATCTATTCTTGTTTTGTTTTTTTACTTTTTTCCGCTGTTTTGATTTTGATTTTATTATTGTTCCTAACTGGGGCTTTTATTCATTATGATTTTGTTTCACCGCTAAAGTCATCGGCTTCAACTTAATGCTCCAGCTGATCCCTCTAAAATGCCCGTTCTCCCCCCAAAAAGTCGCAAACCTTAGATAAGCAGATAATTCTTCTCAAAGTGAGTCTTACTAATAATTCAAAACGTTGTGGTTTTAACAACATAGAATTTTATTAAGAGATTCAATACAGCAACATATATCTTCTTACCGTCTGTATTTGATTTGCATTGAATTTGTTTTTTTCAATTTTAAGTTTGTGTTTTCTTGAATTTTTTTATCTTTTATTAAAAAAAATCAAGTACACTTTATGCTTTGGCTTCATAAAAATTACTCTAAAAAATGCTAGCATAATGAAGTCAACAGAACCCCGTCCTAACTACAGTTGTCCAACATTTGTAAGGCTGCTATTTGGCTTTTTTAAAAACTTTTACCAGACTCTGTTTTGAGCAAGAGAGGTAACTCTTGGTTTTAGGATACATGTAGTAACAAAACAAAGACGGACAGGATGTGTGATAGACTCTAACATACAGCTTCGGGTCTCTAGTTCTCTTCTACGAAAGTCAATCATCTCCTTGATCGACTTCATCTTCATCTTCACCTTCATCTTCATCTTCATCTCTTGCATCTTCCTTTGAAGACTGTCGCTGCCATAAAAATTTTATCAGTCTCATTATCCATCTAAATGCAGCCTGGAATGCATTTCCAGCTCCTGGGTGAATATACTCTCCGGCTAACTTGCTAGCTCCTTCACCCACGTCGCTTATAAATTCCAGTACCACTACAGCGGCAGCTTCCTCGTCTATGTCGATGGTGGAAGTATCCCGTTGCATCTTTTCTTTCTTTGGTTTAGGCTTTGTTTTTGGTGGTATCTTGGACGTTTTTACTGGCAAGGTACGGCTTTTTGTTCGAAATTCGGTGTCCGCGTCACTGTCAGGTTCGTAGCCGCTGTCCTGCTCTCGGTTCACAAGTTCGAACCCATGAAAGCTTCTACGTTGCCTTCGCTGTGGAGTCCCTTCTGCCTCTTGGGGTGGCAGGTTTCTTCGAAGAGGACGCTCTTTTACTTGGACGTCCGGCTCAGCGGAAGAGATTTTTAAGCGATCCTTGTTTAAAATAAGAAAAGGGAACCTGGCACTTTTGTCAAGGCGTTTGAAAGTTGCGATCCAAAATGCCGTCTGCCAGTTGGTAATGCCAGGTAAACATGGCTCGCACAGATCTCCAGTTGCAACAAATGGCACATTGATGACTGATTTTTCGGCCACCCCGACTTTTAGTAGGACATCTTGTATTGTCTTCTTGAAACATCGCATTCGCTCATTGAAGAGACTTATGCGCTCTTCTTGGGTGGCGTCCTTGTTTGGGTGAAGCACTTCATTGGCAAACGTCAGAGCCACGATGGCGTGTTCCCATAGCTGAGTACCAAACGTTGCCGTCAACTTCTCCACGGTTTTGATGTCGTCATTACGGAATCGTCGGCTGTTCATCTCTGTGCAGAAAATGAACACGTCGAAAGGATCAGTTACCCTTTCTTTGATTTTTCGCAGATACTCTTCCTCATTGCCGGTACCATCCGCCAGTCCTGGAGTGTCAAACACTGTAATTTGCACGTCGTTGACGGTAAAATGGTAAGGTGTTACCTGAAAAAAAAAAAAAAAAAAAACATTGCGAACGTCACATCTAGCAGGGGCACCCAACGAGAATATAGTTCAAAACCACTTAAACATAGCATTTTTCAACGTATTTTAGTATTTAAACGTTAGATATAGGCATATTTTCATCCCCTAAAAATTTTTCATTTGTTCGGATTTCTTAGCTGGAAGTTTAGTGATCCGAAAATTATAGGGGTCAAAACTTAGCTTTTCGAAAATTTCAGCTAGAAGAAAGGCTCCTGAAAATTCTAGGTGACCTTTTTAGGGTAAAAATCCGTTAAAAATGGGACATTATACCATTTTTTTAGATTTTCGAAAATTCCAGGAGAGGCAGGCAAGCAAGAAATTTTACAACAAATGTTCCGAAAATTCTAGATCTCAAAAACTGACGTTGCGTGCCCCTGATCTAGGGACAGGAAAGTGAAGGTGAAGCAAATTAATAAAGTACACGAAATAAAGTTTGTTCGGCTCGGACGAGGAAAAGAGTATAAAAGACATCCCGCAGTTATGTCTGAGAGATAGCGAGTTCCCTATAAATAATGCGGAAATATTACTTTCAATTCCCCGGTTAATAACACTGAGCAAAAATTTAGTAGTACTTTTTGGCTGACTTAGCGTACAATAGCGTAAAGTGCTGAAGGCGGCGGTAATAATTACTTAACACATGGCTCCCGATCTTTTAGTGCCAGCGTGATCCTTTTTTCGGAGTTCTGGTTCGAATTCATAACTTACCTCAAAGGTTTCTGGGTCAAGGGTATTGCCTTCTTTTGCAAGATTTTGGCCAGTAAGCGCATTTACCAAATGCGACTTCCCGGCACCCGTTTTGCCACTGAGAAGAATAGTAATTTCCATTCGACCAGATGTTAAACACTGTTCAATATAATACTCCAGAGTTTTTGTACCGTTTATCAGTAACATTGCCTGCTCCCAGTTTGAGGCACCAGAAAATTTGACCTCTGGAGGGATCTTTCCTTCGGCCAT